AAGAAGGTGAATGCTCAGTGTTTTGTGATAAAACATGCATGTGGGCTTGTCCAAGTTCTGGAGGCAAATGGACAGTGTTCAGAAGATCAGCTCTGCAGTGTCTGCTTGTTGTGTAGTATACAATTTTTGGAGTATTTGATAAGACCAGCACAATAGGGCTGCAGAGAATGAGGGGATGAAAATAATAATAACTTGAATTTAAATAGCGCCTTTCAAAAGACCCCGGGAAGCTTTACATTTGTCAGTGATGGACCGAGATGGAATTTAACGTCTTTTTTCCTAATCACTTTTTTGTAAGGTAGTGGTAATCCTGCTGCAGCGTTATTTTTATGGCACTTTTCATAAAATGTAAAAAGATTAGATTGTAGTATTTGAGAGATCTAAGGCCTGAAATTTAACATTTTCATGCCAGGGCCTCTCAATCATCAAGACTCCTGCTGTGCCTCCACGTAGCAGCTCATGGAAACTGGGAGGATAAAACCAGGCCAAGTCAGCAGGGATCTCACAGTGGTCTCCACAGGTGTAGTCATATTGATTTAGACAGTGAATAACCAACGACTGTCTTTGCAAATAGAAATGCTAAAATTCTGAAAACCCCGAGAGAATGATAAAATTGTGGTGCAAATACCAGTTTTGTGACTTTTAATTTGGGCTGAACTTTTTTTTCAAGCATTTGAGTGTTTGTCTTATATTATCTTTTCTTGCCCTTTAGTAATTTGGTAGAGACTCTCAGATAGTTGCCCTCTGGTGGTTAGCGTTTTTACTTTCAAAAGTTCTCTCCGTCTCAGCCCCCTTCACTTCTCTAGATCTGGGCGCAACAGGGACTCAAGCATTGCTTCTCTGCGTGAGCCTCATAAGTTTGATTGAAGGGAGCAGTTTGACTGGCTGGTTGACTAAAAAGCATAGAAAACACTGACAAAGATGTCTGCAGAGGATTTAGTATGTTGTGTCCTGCCTCTCTCCTCGTAACTCTTCAGAGACTTTGTGTTGTTTTCAGCGGGTCTGAACAGAGGATCTCTCGCTGCGTTGTTCATGTAGAAAAGGCAATTTCTGGAGAAAGTCTGTGCCTAATTCTGCAGACATTCTGTGGAGTTTGTGTTTGAAAATGGCTTCATGCTGCTGTGTAAGACTCTTGCCTCCCCTGTTTTATATCTTGTTGGCAGGTTTGCTTCTTTCTTTCACACTTGCTCCACTGATAAGTTGTGTCCAGGTTGTGCCAAGCTTTATCAGACTTTTTGTCAGAATACTTTAAAAAATATAAAACAACTAGACCATCAGAACTATTAGGGACACACGCTAACACGGACTGTTCTGTGAAATTTCGGCAAATAGAAACCTGTCTGTCTTTGTCCTCATGATAATTCAGATCTTTTTGAAAAGAATAAGGAGCAGAATTGCCAGAGAGACGGATGAGACGCCACAAGGGCAATGCATGATTTTATATATTGCTCAGTTAGTGACTCTTGGTTGTGCACTACTTATAATGATGCATTGTGGGATACAATTAGTGCCCTACATCACATAACATTTGGACATTACTACAAAATGGCACATTTACTTCATAGTGATTAGTGAGTGATTTTGGATGTAGCCACTGTGTCTTTGTCACTTTGTTTGTTCATCTGTTGTTTTGTTTTACTCGTGTTCCTTCCTGCCATGTTCCTCCTACTGAGTTTTCCCTGAATTATACTACCTGTGATTTTTGAATGTTGTGTTCCTGTCCATCAACTTTTAAATTTTCATTAAATTCTCTTTTACGCTTGACCTACTTTGGCCTGTGCTTTGCGGCATCTGCATTTGGGTCCTCACCTTTTTCTACATGATAACATTGCTTTTTTTGAAGTAAATCTTTTAACTTAGTTAATTTTTTTCTCAAATCAAATGGTTACAAAGAAGAGCCACCTCAGGCTCTTGCGGGCATCTTAATGTACTCCATATGACATCGACGAAGAACTGTATCTGAAGAAAAATCGCTTCGGGAAGTAGTGTCACTTGGGGAACTGAGGATGTCTCTCTATATCTCTGTCTGTCTCTCTGTCCATGAATCTGTCACCCTCTCTCTGTCTCACTTCATGTCTCTCTCCTGTGTCTGTTGGCCTCTCTCTGTTCTCTGTGTGTCTCTGTCTGTGTCTCTCCATGTCTCTTTCTCTGTCTGTCTGTGTCTGTCTGTTGCTCTCTCACTAAGGTGCATAGGGACAAAGTCAAAGCACTTTCATATAAAGTCTTTTTGTGTCTTTCTCTTTGATAGAGAACCATAGACTTGAGATTAAAAAATGTAGGGCTACCATACTTTATAGAAAGTGAAAAGAAAACAAATCTAAAAAATATATCCTATCAGACCATTACTTCTTTTACAGTAATAAATAAACTCCTGAACTAAACTATTTTCACAGCTCTCATCCTGGAAATGAAAACTATAGTGTGTAAAAAAATAATATATATATAAAAATTGGACTGCCAGAAGGAAGACATCAAATAAATGATATCTCCTTTGGGAGAGATAACAGTTGGAGATAATGGATCTAAAGTTCTTACAATAAAAACATACCACACGTCATGCATCAGCGAAGCCTTAAGCCAATTAAGGAAAAGTTTTGTCATCAGAACACCAGAGGTAGTTTCCCAGCTGGTGCAGCAGGAGGAGAAAAATAATAATATTGTTTTTAAAGTTATGACTGTAATTTTATTGGTCTTTCTAATTAGTATATGCATGTTTTTAGTAATTTTGTGAATCTGACTCAATCAGTGTTCAAGCCAGAATTTATATTTCCACGCAATTTTCAGTTTGATCATCCTCATCAAAACATCATATTTCACTGTAGCCTAAATGTAGCTTTTGGCTTTCAATCATTGGCTTTTTGGAATATCTCCCAAAGAGGTTGAAGGTATTAAAAAAAAAAGAAAAAAAGTACTCAAATTCACAAAGGGTCTGTCAACAATAATGCGGTTATTTTCCAAAACAAAAAATGTTCCCCTGCCCTTGGGCCTCAGTCTACAAGATTTTTCCAACGCCTTCTAAAGTGCAGATTTTCAAAAACTCTGATATCTATGTATTCACGTTTACATGTAAAATGGAGATTTTAGGAAACTATGACTTCACAGCTTTCACTGCGGATGCCCACAGTTTAATTGTTGAGTATGTATCAGAAACAGTAAAAATGCCGGCTACACACCAGTGTCTCTATGTTAGCATTGCTAAGTGTCATATTTTTGTGTTCTCGTCTGGATGTAGCCATTTTGTAAAACCAGGTTGTATGGATATCTACACTAAATTGCCAAAAGTATTGGGTCACCTGCCTTGACTCGCATATGAACTTAAGTGACATCCCATTCTTAATCCATAGTGTTTAATATGATGTCGGTCCACCCTTTGCAGTAATAACAGCTTCAACTCTTCTGGGAAAGCTTTCCACAAGGTTTAGGAGTGTGTTTATGGGAATTTTTGACCAGAAGCGTATTTGTGAGGTCACACACTGATGTTGGACGAGAAGGCCTGGCTCTCAGTCTCTGCTCTAATTCATCCCAAAGGTGTTCTATCAGGTTGAGGTCAGGACTCGGTGCATGCCAGTCAAGTTCCTCCACACCAAACTCTATCATCCATGTCTTTATGTACCTTGCTTTGTGCACTGGTGCACAGTCATGTTGGAACAGGAAGGGGCCATCCCCAAACTGTGGTGTGGATGAGTCCTGACCTCAACCTGATAGAAGCCTTCCCAGAAGAGTTGAATCTGTTACAACTGCAAAGGGTGGACCGACGTCATGTTAAACCCCAGGGATTAAGAATGGGATGTCACTTAAATTCATATGCGAGTCAAGGCAGGTGACCCAATACTTTTGGCAATATAGTGTATACCAAAAATCTCTGCAGTCGTGTAGACAAGGCATAATAAAATCTTTCAGTCAGATCAATTCCTCAGGATGAAGTGTCTTCCCCAAGTTTCTTAGACATGAAACATGAAAACACCTTAGAGTTGTAAGAGACTCAGCGTCCAACATTCATACAATGATAACAATGGTACAAGATTACAAACTGCAGCACAGAGAGGAGTATGTGGTTTATGTATCATCATGTCAGTGGACTTAGTGGTCATGATGAGCCTGTGTATGGCAGATGGTAACAACATCTTTTATCTTGCCTCTTGATACGTCTGTTTATGCTGAAATCAGCAGCCGAAGGGGAGGAAAGTGAAGGCAGGCGAGGCAGAGCGGGTGAATCTCAGAGCAGGTAGTGAGGAAGTCGGTTGCGTGAGAATGAATGATCTTGCAGATGATGTGTGCAGTTTTGAGAAATGTGTTTCGTTCTACAACTGTGAGTAAATTGAGAAACGCAGATGGAGCTGTGAAAGGGGACGAGTTACAGTGAAAGCTCAGTAGAGATAACACGGCTGGTGCTGAAGTTATTTGAGGTTGTGCTGCCTGTTGGTTTGCGTGTGTGTTTTTTTTCAATACAGTAGACTATTCCACTGCAGTCCTGCTTACATCAGCTTCTCTGAACTGTCCCTGACCTGGAAGTTGAATAAATTAATCAATAGCTTTGGTAATTCCAACTTAAGCCTTAAAATTGCGATCCTGGACAGCTCCATCACACATTGACAAAAATTGATTCATTTGAATAAAGTATAAGATATAAATGAGTGTCCCATAGATAGTTGCCTCACACCAGCATACAAACAAATCAGGGGGTGAAATGAAATGTTTATGCCTTGACCTGGGACTCATTTGTGTTGTCTCAGGACTTCCCTGTCTGGAGTTGAGACTTTACTTGGGGCTTGATTTCAAAGCCTTGAGAATTACTCCCGTTTGACTTGTTCTGTGATCTCATAAACAGCCTCGGAGCAGAAATACTTTATTTTTGACATGCTAAGGCTCTTTGAATTATTTTCTTGGATTATTCTTGGAGTACATATTATTTTCTGCACAGCTATTTGTGGTTTGTAGTTTCTTATTTTTTATGAATAGGTTGATTGTAATAGCTAACTAGCTCTGTTTTGTCTTTCTAGATTTCTTGACCATTGCAACAATATTAGGAACTGGAATCTTAGGTGAGTACTTACTTGTGTCTTTTTAATGTGGATGGAGAAGTGACTGTTTACACTGACAGATCACTCTCACACACATACTTGCACCTATGGTGGATTTGGGGAGTTTGTTGAACAACACAGACTTACAGTAGATCTGAGGAAATCCCACTGAATGGTCAATACTTTCTAAAAAGTATGATAAACATTTTGATTTGACATCCTTGGACATCCTTGACAAACTGTTAATGACCATGTGAAATAAAGGCTGCACACATGGGAACTTGAATGAATGAAATTGGGTTTGTGGTTTTGGGGGAACAAACTCTTGGGATCACACCACATCCTGAACATTTACTGTTGAATTACCATCTTTCTCACAGCCTACAGATAAACTGAAGTTTCACAGAGTTATCTTTTTAAAGGTCACTGTACTAAATTGCAATTATATACTTATTTGTGTATAGTTTAAGGTTGACTCATCTAACACAATTGGGGGGAACATGTGAGCTATATTTGTCTCTTTTCCAAGACAATTTTTTGCAATATCAGTTCATTTGGAACACAATTAAAGCTCTGTCCGTGTCTTGGCTTTCATTGGCAGAGCAAATTTAACTGTGGTTTTATGAAGTGTAGTTAACACCAGGGAGATTTTTGTAGAGGTGGAAATTACACGGGACATTACATTTAACTACTTTGTTTTCAGCAGGGTCTTCATGTAGTTCCACAAAGGTGGAGCCCTTCCAAGTTAATACTTGTTCAATCACTTAAATCTCATATTGAAATCAGCACTATCCATTAAATTTTATGGTAAGTTTGAGCCCGAGCGGAAAGGAGTGTCTGTGAAAGAGAAAAACGAGCAGAGATGGTGATAGACAGGCAGGTGTGCACGCTCTGAAAAGTCACACATTGATCTAGCGCAAGTCTTTAAAGCTGTACATTCAGAAATGGTTCTACATTGTTTTCAATTTCTAGGTCTTCCAGTAACGATAGCCCACGCCGGACTGGTGCCTTTCCTTGTCTCCTTTCTTGTTGGCTTTTTTGTTCAGGTGAGTAATACGTCCATGTTTAAGATGTTGTATAATGACCCAAGGCCTTGAGATACCTCTCCACAGAACCAGTTTTATTTATTAGACTGTGAACTGGTCCGTCTCACAACATCACTACGCTTCCTCTTTAAAGTCATAATGAGGGAGCATAGAGATTTCCAGATGGCTCCTGGAGGGAGATTGATGATACTTCAGGAAACTATGGAAGAAAAATCTGAGAACATGTTGTCAAGGCAAAGAAGTGGACACATGGCTGAAGTTGTGCTCCTGGGGGAAATAAGCCGATGCCAAACCTGTTTTATTTGAGTTTCTTTCTCTTTGCCTATTTCCGGTGATAGTGTTGTATTATTCTCAGAGGCAATAGCTGTCTCCTTTTATGCACCTAAAGCACAAGTATAAAAGGAAAGGTGTTGCATTGTTTTCACAGTTGGTGCGACCAGTCGGTCAAGTAAAACTACAGCTTCAAACAGGATAAAGATCTTTTATACATGTCACGTCTGCTTGAAAGTCCATGTGATAAACATTGGCAAAACAATAAACACTCTCAAACAGCACATCAGTGAATACAAAACTCGATAAAGATTCAAATTATCCAGTTTGTCACTAAGAATTATGGCTGTTCATGTTCAATTTCTTCTCTTTGGTGTAAAGGCACAGAACACACTCAGTCTTCCCCACAGGATGGGACGTGAATAAGAGATTATGTCAGAGAAAGTTATGTTGCAGCCTTAAAGGCACATTTTTATTTATCCTTGTATCCTCTATTTGAAGCCAGTCTGTGATGTGGGATCTCGCCTGGTGTAATGAAACAGATGTTTTACACCAGGACTGTTTAAGTGATTGTCTTTGCCTTAATGTTGCGGCACTCACTTGTTTTCCTGTTATCACTTGAATAATGTCCCTCACTGATAGCCTGCCACTATAAATGAATGATGATGTCTCCTCTCATCCACTGCGAATCTGTTACTTGCCAGTCTATGGTCTTTTGTCAAAAACGTGTATTTGTGAAAAAGCTGATCGGAAACATGGCAGAGAGAACTCTGTGTCTCAAGGTGAAATCTAACTGAGAGAGGAAATCAGATCTCTTTCATGCCCTCCCCCAGTGAATGTTAACAGGATTCTCATCTACTTGGTATTTAAAAAAGAAAGGCTGACTGTGAACTAGTTACTTAATTGTAAATGCACCAGTATACATCCAACGTTATTGCATGAAAAGGCCACACATGTACTCTCTATCCTCTGTTTTATAGGGCTTGCTCATCTACCTGTTCGTGGAGCTTCTTCAGAAATGTCAGGTGGTGCAGCTAGAATCCATAAAGGTAAGCAGCTGACAAAGCACCATCCCTTCATTTAACAACAGATTCCCTGTGGTAACACTGAGAGCAGACACCGCTGCACTGACTAAAGAAAAAGCTAAGGGCTAAGTGAATGGACATTTTAAAGATAATATAGAGCAGTATAATATTTGAGATCCAACCAGAAAATCGAAATGATATTTTATCTATCTTGTCACCTCTTGCCTGAATAGAACAGCAGTCTGTATGGAGTGCTGTGGTTTAAAACAAATGTGTGCAATATTCAGATGATAGAAAATATAACTTTTTTCATTGTGGATTTTAAGACATGTTAATCAATCAGAATTCACAATACCAGGTCCCGGGAAGTAGTTTAGCTGCATGGAATAGAGTTGTTGTTAATGTTTTCTATCCCCAGCATTTCCCCCAAACATCCACTATTCCTGACTTCTCTCTTCTATCCCTGACATTTCCCCTCGGCATATAATACAGGGGGATATAGTCAACAGCATGTCTCTCTCTGATCATTTCTGCAGCAGAACTCAAAAACCACTTTGATTTTTCAATGAAACTTCACAACTATGTTAATCTGGTTGACAAGTGGCACTTTTTGATGTTTTGTTTCCTTTAGTCCTTATTTTATTCTGTAGTTTCATGGCAATGAGTCTAACCTTTACCAAATTGAGATCATTTTTTTAAATAAATCAAAAAATGCATATAGATTTTTTTTTTGTACCTTTACAGCTATCATATAATAAATGAAGCTTT